TGAGGTGAGCTGAAGAAGGAGTCAGGGGCCAGCTGGTACCAAACCCCGCAGGTCATGTAAAGACTGGATTTAATCCTAAAAGCAAGGAGTGTCCGTTAAAGAATTCTGAACAGAAGGAAGGGAAGAGACACACAGAAAAGCAGCAGGGAATGTCCATGGCCCCGCCCACACACAGTCGAATGGAAGCTCGGGTTCTGATGGCCCCTGGGTTCCACAAGCCCTGGGTTTCCTTTAGCTCTTCTTTATATCTCCATTCAATTTCTTTCTCTACTTAAGTTTCTGTTCATGACCAAAATATCAATATTAATAATGTGACTTTACAGAGATAGTGAATTCATTGTCAGAGGAATGTCACAGAGATGATACCAAGCAGAGAAACCAGTTAACCCAAAAGCTACAGCTTCTCCAGTGTTCAAAGAAAAATGGTGGGGCCTAAACATAAGAATTAGGTTATTCTGAGCACACAGTCACAAAATCATCCTTAGATATTTCAATATTTAAATTTCACAAAAAAGACAAAATAACTATTTTACAAGTGGAAAAGAGTATAATAATCTGGACCTAAAATGTAATGGAAGAAAGCTTGATAGACAATTTAGCTGATTAAGATATTTTCCTACTCGTATAATTAACAGTCAGTACTTTGTCTTATTTAACATGTGACAAATGTCCCATGTGAATTCTAAAAATAAAGATGCATTTGAAAATTGAGGGGAAAAAAACATATTCATAAATTTGTTCCTGGCAGTTTTAAGTCAATAAAAGATTTGTAAAATGTTATTTCAGATTCAATTGGCTTACAATTGCAAAAAAAAAACAACAACCTCCGAAACCTTGATTTGAATTACTCTGATCTTTCTAATACTGTTTTTCTTTCAGAAGTCTTCACATACTTGTAATTTAAAGAAAAAAAAATTATGTGTGCATACTTACACATGCCTATGTATACATCTATAGATATAAACTCATAGACACACACACATATACATGACTTACATACATGGTTTCTGCCACTATTTAAAGAACATAACTAATTTATCATAAAAAGGTAAAACTAAATAATTTGTTTTATGTATTCATAGTTATATGAATGTCTATTAACAAATCTACTCTGCAGAATTTAACTTGAGAACTATAGTCACTTTCCTCCCAGGTAACTTACCACAGAGATCAAATTTCTTACATCTGCGATGCTCACCACAACTTGCAGTTATTGCCGATTAATAGGCCGAGATTAATTGTTGGAAGTGCCACATAATAGCTGTAGTAGAAAACATTTTAAACACAGAACCACATTTATGCACTTAACAGCTGTGTCGGTCTAACAGTTCAGATTTTCACTACATTTTGCCATATGGTAACAAGGATCATTTTTCACTTAAAATATTACAAAAAAGTGATGCCCTATAGCAATATTAACATTCTAATTTTGAAACTACACATTCACAGCCATGTTTGTTATCCTCCTGTTACTGCATTCCTCCTTATTTGCCTTAATTCTACTTCAAATATTTAATAACATTAATTTTTTGGATTTTAAATTAGTATCAACCAGATCAAACACAAATACTGAAATAGGAAACCTATGGAATATGACCCGGCGATGAAGAGGCAGGATGTAAAATCTGGGTTATATAAAACCTTAGGCGCTAGAGCAATTAGGACCTATGTTTGTTCATTGGGTTTGGGGGTTTTCCTGTATTCAAAAACAGCTAATTCCTACTTCCTATCTCACCTTTTCCCCCCTGTAACTCTTTATGATGTAGAGTGATTCCTAAACTAAACACAAAAAGTTGACTGTCAATTGTGATGCTCATCTGATTGCTATAATAATTTATTAGCATGCTTTTAAGGGGGGAAAACACTGTAGAAAATTTCACATATACATTTACCAGGACTAAATTAAAAATCTCACGTTTAAATTGCCAGAACATGAGGCCCATCCATGCCAGGAAGGGCGGATTGTTGCCATCAGTATGTTAGAGCAACAAACAGAGAGTCCTTTAGTTCTTAGGTCTGTCAATCTATTACCTTTATAACTTCCCTAAATTCCTTCAGCAGAACTTAAGAAGAATACAGTGACCAAAATGATGCTTTAATAATGCTGTTTGCACAGTGCACTATATTCATTAGGATTGTGTGATTCTCTACTTTGTTTTGAAAAGTAAGAAGCAGGGTGGTATAAATGCCTTAAAATAATACATTTCAAGTAGAAATGAACATGACAGATTTTCAACAATATAGGTCATATGTTCACTATTAGAAAAAGGAAATCCTACATTTCACGATCCCTACCTTTAAAAAAATGCATTTCTTAAGCAATCACTATGTTCCAATACAAAAAAAAAAAACCCACGAAGTTCAAAACTTCTACCAAGATGTACCCTTGCTTCCTTTTTTCTAAGCCTGTGTCTCCTCAAGTGAAACATTTAAGATAAGATTTAAGCAATGATAAGATGCAGGCTGATGAATCACCCTACGCAGAGGCTGCCCTGGCTCCTCCGTTCCAAGTAGGAAGAGTTCTTTTTACCTATTGTGACTTTGCAGAGCTTTGTGCCATTTAAGGCAGAATTGCAATATTCCACATATTCCTTCCATATAGAACTTTCAGGTTCCCACATATTTAATTAACAAAACATTTTTATTAGCCTGAAGCTCATACAGACTCTCCAAATGTCTCAGGTTGTCATTTTAAAACACATTTCCTTTAAATACGGATTTAAGGTCTCAAGCCATTCATCACAGCTTTGTCATTCACTTGAGAGTGGTGACCACTGCATTTGACTGTGCTTCAGATTCACCTATTTTGGGGATCATCACTCTCACTGAAGCATGTGCAGAATTAAGGATCTGAGCATTTCAAGATGTCAATGAATATTTAACTTTGATAGTTAAAGTTGTTTAGTCTTGGTTAAATTCACAGTCTCTGTCTACAGCACATTCTTTCTTCATCAAGGCAAAATCATAAAAACCATGAAGCTTATTTTTTATGAAAAGTGACAGGTGGAGAAATTCCTCAAAACAACAACCACCACAACCAGTTAAGATCACTAGTAATACAATTGGGAATATAAATTGGGATTCAGTATGTTACTCACACTACAATGAGATAGGGGATTTTTTAAAAAATCTGTCTCAATTTATATTTCCAGCTTGGTCGCCTCCTATTCCTGCATATATTAATATTATTAATAATGATACTAATAATAGCAAAATCTCAGATAATACTATGTACCAGATGCTATTCTAAGTGCTTCCTGTGTATTTACTCATGTAGTAATCAAATCAAACCTATGGTAAGTATTATTTTATCCCTATTTTACAGTTGACAAAACTGAGGTACTAATAAGATAACTCAGTTGAAATTACATGTCTAATAAGTGGTAGAGCTAAGATTCAAACCCAAGCATCCTGGGTGCAGAGTTCATATTCTTAACCACTATGCTGTAGACTAAATTAGAAACATACACACACACACACACACACACACACACACACACACTCATGAAAGTGCCCTGGAGAGGGATTTAAAAAGGCTATGTTACCTAGAGGAAGGCAAGGAATGTCTCTGTGCTTCAACCTCCTCATTGGAAAAGAAAGCAATACATTATTTTACGGTATATTCTAAGCCTAACATTTGTGATTCAAACATGCAGTCTGTAGCATATGACCTCTTTGCTTTTTATTGACATAATCCAATAATGAATTCAGGTATTCATATGTTTCAAGGAAAATGCTAAAAAAAATGAAAAATAACCCTCAGGCAATCAAGATATAGTAGCTGCATGAATAGGGTATAAGAATTTCACCTCACACATATCAGGTTTTGAGCTTCCTGAAACACTGTTAAGAAATAGTTTCCCTGAGGCTTTTCTATTCTCTTCTAAAAGGTATCAACCAGATTATAACAATTTTTGGAAAATTAGAAAACCAGGTAAATGAACTACCTATTGTTCCTTCATATCAATACATAAAACTCCTTTGAGTTACACTCATCTATACCAGAAACTAAAAGTATTTTTTCTCATGTAGCCAAGCTATAAAATACAATATTTTAATAGTATCATGGAATACTTTGAGATTATGAAAACATTAATCTTATGAGTGCCAATCAAAAGTACATGCTAACTGATTATACATACTTCTCAAACAAATACTATTGCCAAATTGGTTCTATAGAATGCATTCACAGGTCTATGAGGTTGAATTAGAAATGCATTTGATTTCATCCATATTTCCTTTGTCCCGACTTAATTTTATATCACTGCTTTCTCCTTATTTCCAACCTCATGACTCCCTCATTGCAAATCACTATTACAGATAGCTGTTTCAATTGCATTGTTATCTTTCTTTTTCCAATTTGAAAATAATTCACTTACTTTTATAACTACTCGTTTTATTTAAATGTTTTAAATATTTTTTTTAAAATTGCTATCCTCTAGTCAACCTTACACAAGAATAATTTTTCTGGACAAAATGATCACTAAGCAAGCTCCTGTTCTTAAACATGGATCAACTTCTGACAACTTCACAAATTATAATTATTGCCATTATAAAACTAGAGATTCACCCAATGCATCCATATAAAACTTGAAGTGAACTTCAAAGTTAATTAACTAACCTATAAATATCTAACAGTATTAAAATGATCAAAACAAAGCTTTTGAGAATTGCTATTTTCTTAAATTCTTTACATATAACCTGTCACAGTATGTTGACAATCCACTTTATACTCAAAAGTTCCAAACTGGATTGCATTTAATTCTTCATTGCTAGAGGAAATAGAAACTTTGGATCCCTTTAAAATTACTCCAATACACGACTAGAAAGCGTTGCCCTAACAGAGAAAGCAGTAACATTACAGAGCAGCTGAAGGATGGGGTTTGTAGTTGTCGAGCCATTGAACTTCTGCCCTGAACTTTCCTTTCTGTGATAAAAGCCACAACGCCACATATTAACGGAGCCCCCTATCAGCACTGCACTGTGGGCACTGCTCTTACCCCTCGTGTGCACAGACAGAAGAATGAGCAAGCAAATATGAAGCTGCCAGGTTAGTTCGTCCAGCCAGCCCATTGCAGCAGGAGAGCAGTAAAAGGGACCTGCCTGTGTGTGCCTCCTGTTCCTCGCCTTTCCTTCTTTCACGGAGGCTCCTCTGCTGCCACTCTTGTCAGAGCTTCAGGCTAGCCTGCCAGCAAGCAGGAGACAGGACCGTGAAAGACAAGCCTGTTACAAACTGGTTCTGTCACCAGAGAGACTTCAACGGATCACCTCGCGGTGAGGACAACAAAGGACGGTGAGGACCCCGAGCAGGATTGTTTTCTTAAGACGGGAGCCTGACCCGGCTGCCCACACAAGGGCCAGCACAGGCGCTGCTGGGCTCTGCGCCGGCCATCCCCAAGTCCCCCAGGTCTCTCGGGCAGCTATGCAGGAATTCCAAAGCAACACGGACCTATACTTTGCAGTCATAAAATAGACTATTGATTCAGTCAAGGGTATTTTTCTCTGCTAAAATTGTAACTGGCAATCATAGAAAGACACTGAGAAATAAAATGTTTGATTTGATGAAATGATAGAAATATTGCAACATGTCAAGTGTCCTAGTATGGCAGTTTTCTCACACTATATCTACCATATCTATCTTTAAATAATGAAGCAAATGCCTTTGAATCAAGCGCACAGATATGAAAAAGGGTCACATGAAAAAAGGCAGCCTTAATGAATATTTCAAGTTAAAATATTTCAGTTAAGCTACTCATTCATCAATTTTAAATGACTATAGTTTGAGGTTTCTTATATAGAAAATAACTGTGAACCTCAACAATCTTATTATGTAATTAAAACTATGAGTTATTCATTCTTTAGGTTTTTAACCGTAATTGTGTCTCAGTGTAGACAATGCACATTTTGTAAAATACGATTTTCCATGATATTCTGAGTGAACTTTCTCAACACTAAAAAACTTTTTAAAAGGCTATTTGTTTTCTTTACTCTGAGAACTGACAATAATAAAAGAACAGCCAGAATTATAAATGAATTGTCAGTGTGTGTAGAAACTGCAATGTCACCATAGGCAGATACAAACAGAAGTGGTTACTAAAGATTCATGACTATGAGAGCACAGACATATTTCAATGTGTATACCGAATATATCATCAGAGCTGTTTACTTGATATGTTAACTTAATTTCTTAGGGAAAAAAATCTCCACTATCTTCTCATTTTTAAGAGACACCCCTACCCCTCCAACACACACCAGCACCTCCCAGCACTACCCTGCTAAGGTGCCATTCCAATCTATTTTCTAGCTTAGGGCAGCCCAACAATTGCTTTTTATAATTTTACAAACACTAGTATCAATCCAGCACACACAGCTCACACTTCCATGAGATGAAACTTAACAGAAATACAGTGTTTTTAACCATGAAGGAAATCCTGGAATATCCCAAGCTTAAGAAACTACACATTTTGTATTTCACAGAAGCCATACAACTTACTTGTCAGAAACATGGAATTTGGGGGTGGTGAATGAGGCAATCTTTCAGTATCATTTATCCACATCCCTTTAAGCTAAGCAGGGGGATTGAGGCATACTAATATGAATAAGAGTGATTAGGAGCAGAGGGGTAACATGTGGGAAAATCAGACAAAAATCAAGCAATAGAATCTCTTGTTCAAACACTCTACGTTGGGCTCAGAGCCACATCACAACATGGTTCTGCTGCCAATTTGGAACCCAACCCTTCAGCTTGGGATGAGGAGCGAATGGCTGAAATGTGGGACAGCTCCCACTGCTTGCATTTCCCCAAAATGGGCATCCACAAATGGTTCAAAGCATAAAGAGAGAATCGTTGTTCTCTCCCTAGAATCCTAATTCTGCTCAGAGCTAAGTAAAAAATGTAAGGTATTTTAAGACCAAGTGTCCTCAAATGGAATAAAGATAGAACATCAGAGTAAGGGGTAGATTAGACCGGGTCACAAACCCTGAAGGGAGAGCTGGATGCTGAAATATGAATTGAACTTATATGTACAGCAATGAGGAGATGGGAGGGAAACGACGAGGACTGGAGGTAGGGTTAAATATTTCATTTGTGCCATAGCACGAGAAGAAAAACCTTACTGGAGGAGACAGCTCCTATTAGTAAATGGTTGGAGACAAAGCTAGACAGAGTGGAACCAGATTGTACAGGGCTCCGAATACGTGTTACAAAGTTCGGACTATATATTATATAATAACTAAAGGCTTTTGAGCAAACTGGCTTGATGAATTAAAAAAAAAGGGTTTGGGGTTTCAGCATATAGGATGGGTCTCTGAAGAGAAGTGAAAATTAGATTAAAGTGTGAGGAGTGGTTTCCACTTAGTCGCAATGGTTACCATGTTTCGGTAATACAGATTTCTTTCTTTCATTTATAATACAAAGAAACTCAAGATGCATCCCTATTAATTACCTCCATTTTGCCTTTATTGTTTTACATATGCTAGATGCCAACAGTGAAGGATTTATTCTATAAAATGCTTAAAATCTGGCTTAGCAAAACAATCCCAATTTGCATATAATTTAGCCCACTCATCTTAAAGTACACACCAAATGAGGCTTCAAAGAAAGCTCTAAGAGAATGTTAAAAAAAAGGTCTCAATTTGAAAATATACACTAGAGAGGGCAAGCAAAGAGAACAGGACTACAGACATCACTACCAATATGGTTAGTGCATTTCATTGCTGTATGTCATTTGTAGAATTCTTACACAGACCCACTTACTAGAGATTTATGTGGCCTGTGCTGTGCAGTAGAAAGCCTATTTGTGTTATCTGTAAAACCTTGGGCAAATTATTTAAACTTCTGTGCTATAGTTTGCTCATTATCTAAGTTTTAAGATTGTTACATGGATTACACAAGTAAATGAGCATAAACTATGAATACTGTGCCCAGAACACAGGAGGGCATCAGAAAATGGTCAGAAATTTCCTGACAACTCTCACTAATCACGCCTTTGCCTTCTGACCAAAAAAAGTAAACAAACAAAACGAAAACCCTTGTTCACAATAATGTTTTTTAATGTAACATTTGCCAAATTGTTCCTGTCATAAATAATGTGATCACTAAAACAAGAATACAAAATATTGTTTAATATGTCTTAACATTAAATCGTTTGAAAAATTCCAAGTATACCTGCAAAGGCAAACATTTATTTAATCAAGTTATTTTTACTCAATCTATGGAACAGTCATGTAATTGAAGAAGTACACAAAAATAGTTTTAAATTATGATACCGTAACCTTTTTAAAAATTTTGATTTGTGGCTCTTTTCACTTAGACACACCCCAAATCTCCTGATTTTATGTATTTATACAGTTTTTAAACTGTCTTTGGAAGACTGCGTCTAGTGAATGGGATATGAGAATGTTAAAAAGCACATGCCTTCAGGACAAACGTACCTGGAATGGGTGAAGACAGACATACAACCAAATAATGACAGTGCAATACCGTAACTACCTGCCATACGAAAGGAACATGGAAAGCAGAGTGGATAAACAAAGATGAATTCTGAGGCAAGATGGGGACTGGGCTTGTGGGGGAGAGGCGTCTGAATAGGTCTCCACAGATAAGCAGGAATTCAGTGGGCAAAGGGAGGGCAAAGGAATCTTAAGCAAAGAGAACAGACAGTGCAGACATTTATGAGTAAGAAAAAGAGCAGTGTTTGCAGAGAACAGGAGACACTGAGAAGCTGGATATGCCTAGAGAGCAGCAAAATTAGGCTGGAAAGTAGACTGGGAAGCTGAGAAGCTGGGCAGGGCCTTATGTCTCATACTTTGGTTTGATCTGATTTGATCCTACAGACATGGGAGGCAATGCCTTTGTTTCTGGGGGGGAGGGGGCATGTGCACCATTTATTTTCTATTGTGTGAACTGACTGCACCTACTTCTTGCAGCTGACATTTCAAAAGAAACCAGGAAACTTTTTGAGATAAGATGAAAAATATTTTCCTTTTTATTTAAGAAAACGTAACAACATCCTTATTATCCTTAATGAGGACAATGAGGTGAGTGCTATTTTCTTCATTACTTGAACATCCCCGCTAATATTATTTGGAACAACATCTATTTTTTAATTAAAATTCTGTTCAAACACACAGGCACATAAAAACAACAGTTATTTCCTTCTTCTTATTAGAAGCTGTAGCATTTGAGGGTCCTACCATCCCACAGAGTTTTGCAATAAAATATTTTCCAAACTTTCATACTGGTTGGGACAAAAATAGAAAAGTGCGCTCAGAATTGTACTAATGAATTTTATTATTCTGATTTGTAGCGATACACTTACATAATGATATGAAAAGTACTCCACCATGGGGGCGGGATGAACAATAGAACCCAAGTGTACAGAAACGTTTTTCCTAACTTCAGAGCTGACAAAAAGACCACAACTTAAGCCCGCTTTCAGGCTGCCTCCTGCCTCCCCACCCATTCTAATTTGCAGCATTCCACATCACTAGTCATTAACAACCCAACGTTCCCTTCAGCTGCGCGGTGAAAGACCATCACTTCATTACAAATAAACAATCCCTTCTTCCCTCCGACGAGTGACACATTATTCTGAGCACGTCTTCTCTCTGCTTTCATTGCTCTGCCAAGGTCCCCATGAGTGGGAAGGGGTAAAAAGAGAGAAAAAAATATCCCACAACTTGTCTAAAGCATGGAGAGGATGATTTGTGTTCTCCCTGACGGGATATGACTGTCACTGTTGATCTGCTTTCAGGCCTAGATTACATGTGATAAGGGCTGACCTTCTTTAAGTGTTCACACATTATGCACTCATGGAGAGCAGGCAGGACACAAAAGTCCTTCAGATGTTCTGGACATCAATCAAGTACACAGCATGGTGCCTGCCAAACTTTTCTTCCATTTACTCAGGGAGAGGAAGAGGGGATTCCAAGACAGGCTTAATCAAGTTTAAAGCTATGCCCTAGAATATTTGGGGAGACCATTGTTATTAAAAGAGCGTTGTTTGAAAAAAAAATTATCTTTAGTTAACACTAGTGACAAAAAAAAAATTCACACACAAATATAAAGAGACAACCAGATTTCCCTTCAGCTTTAAGTTTTCAAAACTTTTAATAGAAACCAGGTCTCAATGGCTTTAGAAGATTTTTTTTTCTGAAATAATAGTTCATTAAGTATATATTTCAGAAACTAAAAATGTAGTTTTTTTAATACCAACCATACATCAAAGGTATCTTTTTTGAGGAATTTATAAAAGTAGTAGAGGATGGATATTTGTCATTAAATACTCTGCACATATCTTAATATAAATTAAAACACCAATCAACAGTATAAGCCATTTTTCACCTAATACAAATATTATCACCATTAACAGTCTAGAGCCCCAAAATTATGGAATAGACATGACAATGTCTTCTGGTATAGGCTTTCAATGTTGGTCTTTTATCTTTGCTAT